AGAAGGGAGCATTACGTGTTCCAAAACGTTAATGTATTTGTCGGCAGTAAATCTTCCCTCTAATCGCCAACAAACACCAGATCCATGTATACTAATCCAACCCCATACATTTATAGAAAAACGTCCAGATTTATTATGAGAGTGAATATACCGTTCTTCAAACCAAGTATTGGCTGGACGATAAACACGGATTTGACCGTTATACGTCGATTGAAAAGTCTTTTCATCAGTAAAAATGACGTTTCAAAATTGTGGGTTGCGGTAAATATAGTTTAGTGCAAATTTTACTCTTGCTTGCCGATGTTCAACAGATACTAATGGTTTTTTAGCAGCTGGTCGGTTTTTTAATTCAGATTCATTGATCCTTCTGCTTACAGTAGGTTGGGCACCAGGAAATCCCGTATGAATCCTTGAATCCTTCGACGTCGCAAATGGATTATCTCTTAAAAATTGAACTAAAGCAGCATCTTGTCGAGGAGTGGGTACTTTGGAACGCCCTGAACAAACTTTTCTTTTTAATGATTGTTGTTGGACCCATCGTTGCTTAATTCTGAAGATTGCTTTCAAATTTCTATTATAGAAATTTGCTAGCGCACGAATTGACCATCCTTCTTCCATTTTCGTAATTATTTGAGCCTTTTCAATCTCACTTAAATGACGAGGCATATTAATTTTTTCTTGTACGTAACGTTAAACCTTCTATCAAATTAAACGTCTTTGACGTCTATGAGTTGCATTTTTGATCACTTATGACATTTGATAACCTCCAAAAGTCCCAGCCGGTTTTACACAAATAGGATGACGTTAACTTCCCTTTCTAATACTTGTACCCTTTTTTTTTAATATAGCTGTACCTACTTTATATGGACAACATTTTGGTCTTTTAGAAATTGTAAATAAGATATGTTTAATTATTATTGAGGCAGTATTTAATACTCAACCATACTTATACCCATCCTGTATTTTTTAGTGAGGTTTTGCTAGGAATAGTTTACAACGTAAACAAAAAAAGGGTTGTGCAGTAACTAGTTGTTTAAGTGATAATCAGACAAAAGGTGCCGATAAATATGTTAGGTTTTATAGTTTTTCCAAGGACTTGGTAGTGGAAAAACTGTGGGTTATTGCTTGTTGCCGTAAAGACAAATTGAATACTGAACCCTCAAGAATTTGTTCCAAACACTTTAAGCCGGAAGACTTTAAATGAAATTTGACCCAAAGAAAGGACCTAAACTGAAGGCTGATGCGGTTCCTTCTCTTCATCTACCACAAACAAAAAGCAATCTGTATTTCAGAATTAAGAAATTAAACCTAAAACTTAAAGAAGATTTAAGAAATAAAAGAAAATTAATAAAAATTGTAACTTAAAACCTTGTGTTTGATTTGTTTTCCGATTTTAGTGCAGATAATTTATGATAAATTATTTTCTTCTGTTTACTTTTAGACGAAGACTTTTTTCCTCCTCGATACTGGCGTCAAATAAGACAATACAATCAAAAGCTAGCTCCGTAAAATTTACGAAGATTACCTTTCTAGGATTAAAAAGCGAAAAACACAAAAAAAACTCCGGAATAGTTCAATACAGTAAAAGCCAAATAAAGTTGCGTGCACGTCACCAATGTCGTAATTCTATTGTATGTGTGGCTACATTTCTATGGAAAAGTGTATGTTACTTTAGTTTGCTAAACAATCACTTTTAAAAATAACCCGAGCAATAAAAAAACTTTTGTAACAAAATAATGTATATACAGCTATGTATATATAGCTTGTTTGGATTTAGACGTCCGTCATTGTAAAATTTTGTGTTGAAATGTTCATAAAGAAACCACCAATTATTGACGGAGTATTAGTCACTACCAGAAATATTGTCATGTTGCCGCGTCGTTTGTTGAATTTTGAATCAGTGGCCTGTGACTTTTGTACTCGTGGTATCGTCGATTTTTGAGGTTATCTTATTTACTTGTCATTTTTACATTTATTTACTTGTCAAAATGCCCAAACAGCTAAATAGTCGATGCAAAGAACTTGTGGCTTCATTAGTTAACTATTTTGAAGAAGAAAGGATTAATAATGGCCCTTTGTTACCCTTAAACGCTGTGCAAGAGGTAATATGCGAATAAAATATCATTACTTTACTTTACAAAAATTTGTATTATTTTAGCGTGCAGCTGCTGCTTTAAAAATCAGCGTAAGAACAGTAAGCAGCATATGTCAAATGCAGAAAAAAGGTGAACAGTTCGAGTCACCAAAGAAAAAGCGTTGCACTAATAAACGAGTAACAAATACAACAACTTTAAATACAAGCTCTATTCGTGATACCATTTACAATATGTACCAGAGAAGTAAGTATGATTATAACAAATATACATTTAACATAATTTTATTTCTGGATGCTTTTAGAACAGCACGTAACGGTTCAATCATTGTGGTCCCAACTGAAAGATAAAGAATTATTTAATGGTAGTACGACTTCTTTAAAAAGATTGCTCAAAGAACTTGGGTTTGAGTGGATGAAGGATAATCCACGACGAGGACTTATGGAATTACCTAACGTTGTTTGTAAAAGAGTACAATTCTTAAGAACCTATAAAGAAGCGAAGGATGAAGGTATATACCAATTCGTGTTCCTCGATGAAACTTGGATATTTCAAAATGGGATAATCGGTCATTCTTGGCAAAATGAAAATATAAAGAGTGTTAAAACCACTAAAACGGATGGCAAAAGGTTTGTTGCGTTAGCTAAGTTGTTAGATGAACATTTAAATAATATCATTGCAGGTATATTATACTCCATGCTGGAAATGAAACTGGATTTATAGAGGGTGCTGAAGCAATATTTTGTTCAAAAACTCAACTTAGTGATTATCATGGGGAAATGAACCAGGCAAATTTCTTGAAATGGTTTGAATATCAGTTACTGCAAAACTTAGAGAATCCTTCTCTAATTGTACTTGATAATGCACCTTATCACAGTATGTTATTGCATAAAACTCCGAATACAGGATGGTCAAAAAAAGCTATCGAGGAGTGGTTGACAGAAAAAAACATTCCTTATTCCCATATGATGTTCAAAACAGAACTGTTGCGCATCGTTTCTCAGTAAATATATAGATATCATCTTACATATAAATGTCATTTATTTTAAACATTTTTTTAGAAATAAACCACAAACCAAATATATAGTGGATGATATGGCAGAACGGTATGGACACAAAGTTTTACGTCTTCCTCCTTACCATTGTATCTTTAACCCTATTGAATTAATTTGGGGCATAGCAAAAAATTATTACAATAGGCACATTGGTAGAGATGGTAACAGCGCTAACAACTGCCTAAACATGTGGCATGAGGCACTTTCCATGATTACTCCTGATATGTGGAAAAACTCTATCAATCATACTGAAAGAGAAATATTTAAATGGTATGAGAGAGAAAGAATATTTGATCGTCAAGAAATTAGTCCAATAGTAATAAATGTTTATAGTGGAGAGAGTGACACTAATGTGGAATCAGATTCAGAAAATGTTTAGTTTGTTGATGTTGTTTTTTTAATGTCTTGTTTTGTCTTTGAAAATAAGTTAATTATTAAAAAATATTTTATTTTATTACTTGTGGTTTTATTTTGATTATATTTATTGTTTGGTAAGTCAGTAATAACTTTACCACTTTTATTGTGAAATTACCTTTTTTGTGAAATCTATTCATGAATGTAATTAACAAAAAAATAAATGAAAAAAAAACACTCATTTTTAAATTCCACTTAATATTGTTACGAAAGAGTTATCCTACATAGGAAAAGTCCATTGACGAAAAAGAAGAAGTAGTTAGAGAACATTCAAGATGACATCGAAAATTCTTGAAATGTCTAGTGAAGTTTGGAACGTCAGAAAATATGTATATAACAGATGTTTTTGATAGTTGGGGAACAGATGTATTTTGAATGTAGTTTATAGTTTCAGTTAATTAAAAGTATTGTTATATTATTGGTGTTGAATAAAGCTAATTTTCAAGAAGTGTAACAATATAGTGTGAAATTTGCTACCTTCACCTTTTTTGTTTACTTCAGTTCTTTTCTGTTAATTTTCATACTTCATAAACCATCTGACAACGCTGCAAATGTTTACAATGATGACGTGAACGCAACTTTATTTGGCTTTTACTGTAGAAACTCTATTAATCTATTAAAATGACTTTTTATTGACAATTAAAAATTAATTGTGTTCTGATTGCTAACGTTCTTACGGGAAATATTTAAAATCTCTCTCATTGTGACGTAATGCGCGAACTCGTCTCAATTTCTCCCTCGGGAGTATCATACCTGTTATACTTTGTACCATGAGTATTGGGGATCAATCTTCTATACAATACCTTATATGCCACGTTAAGTAGGGTAATGCCTCTATAATTATCACACACCAGCATATTTCCCTTTTTGTGAAGAGGGTGTATTACATCTAATTTACAGTCTGCAGACGTTTCCTTCCGTAGCCAGATTTCGGTTACTAATTTATACATGGGTTTAAAAAGGGTGTCACCACCATTTTTAAATAGTTTGTCCAAACCAAGGGCTTTGTTATTTTTCAGTTTTAAAATGGCTTCTCTAATTTCTTCTTCGGTGGGGGGCGGCTCTTGAGCGTTTTCATCCATTTCAGGCAAAGTAATTTCTATTTGGTCTTCTTCACGACTGTCGCTAAGCATTTCTTCAAAATGATTAGCCCACCTGTTTAGTATAACGTCAAATATTAGGTAATGTAATTTTCATGACAATCAACGCGGCGGCTTAATCCCATATAAACACAATATTTAAATTTGACATGCATCAAGAAAACAGTTTCATAATCTTTTAAATCTGCTTTTGTGTAAAGAAGTAAAATCTAGCAAATAAGGAGGATGGGAACTAGTTAAATTCTGGAATTAGGCATAAAATGTTCTTAGAGAAATAAAACTTTTTTAGCAGACTAAGGAGTCAAAAATTTGAAAAAATATTCTTGTTATTTACGAACCTTTGAGTTTTTCCTGTGTGTATTTTACTAATTCCCTTTGTGTGAACACTTTGAACAGTTGATTTGAAAAATTCCTTATCTATATCTTTTGTTGTGGTACGATACGGCTAAAAATAAAATGGCACACTTTTAATAAATGATATTGGCAAGTAAATGCACTGATATAGGTTAGAAATGTGTGAGTCTATGTATATATTAAAACGGAATATAATGAACATTCTATAGTGCGATAAAAATCGCACCAACTGCAAACGAAACGTCCAGAAGAAATACTACGTCTATAAGCCTAAAAAACCATTATAAAATACTATAACTTAACTTTGTTTCTCTAAGTTTCCTCGTGTACTTAACTACAACAATTGAGGCGGTCGACGTGAGAAGGGCACATAGGCTTATGTGCCCTTTTTACGCAAAACGGCTATTTAGGTCCGCCATGTTTTTCCCTTTACAATGGAATAATTTCCATTTATTTATCTTTAAAAATGAGGTTGGTGAAACTGTTTGAATATTAGTGCGCAGGATGTTTTTTTCAGATATGTGATTGTTTATAAACGATTTCTGCAGGTGTTTTGTATATGAGGGCTATTTATCGCTTCTCATTTGTTTCGATCACTTGTTATGTGTCATATAATATTAATATATTATAGTGAGGTTAAAGTATCGGTGTTATTCTGATAAGTTTTATTCTATTATATTATTACATCGAGTTTCATTCTGATAAGAACTATGATACGTAATGAAAAATATAGTAATTGATGGATTCGACCGTTACTTGATGGAAATTCATTTTATGTAACAATAAAACACTGAAAACTTTGTTTTCAAACTTCCACAAAATTTATTTTAAATCTTATCACTACAGCTGTTTCGGCTGATTTCCTTTCTTAAGTGATCTATTTTTGGCATGCGTTTACAATTTATAGTCTCTAATGAAATAGGTTGAGGAGGGGAGAACTGTTTGTCTCAAGTTGGTCATTCAGAATTATATCAGTTTTTCTTAATTTGTAGATTTCCATAGATTCTAACAAAGATAGCTTAAGGCCTTTATTTTGAATGTGAAGAATTTTAAATTTTTCATTAAAAGAATGATTATGATCTAGAAGGTGAAGTGCGTATGTCGAATCTGTTTTTCTATTCTTGAAAGCCCTTTTATGTTCTGCTATTCGTTTATCAAAGTTTCTACCAGTTTGACCGATGTAAGTTTTTAGGCAGTCGCTACATTGAAGTTTGTACACACCACTATTTAAGTGTTTTTTATTTTGGCTCTTGTTATTTTTAATATATTTGCCTAGGTTGTTATTTGTTCGGAAAGCTGGTGTTATTCCTTTCTTTTTTATATGTTTGGCAATTTTTGTTGTTATTTTGCCTGTATATGTAATCGAGCAGAAGGTACTGGGTTTTTTCTCTGGTGGTGGAAATACTAATTTCAGGGCTTTCTTGTGTAGTTTTTGATTTAAGTTTTATTAATTGTTTGTTCGTTGTATCCGTTGTTTACTGCTATTTGCTTAATTATATTTAATTCTGTCTCAAAGTTGTATTTTGACATTGGAATTTCTGTTAATCTATGTAACATACTATGATAAGCTGCCAGTTTATGTTGTGTTGGATGGGATGATGAATTGTGTATAGTCGTGTCAGTATGGGTAGGTTTATGAAATACGGAGAAGTCATGTTTGTTTTGAAGTCTGCTAATTTTTAAATCTAAGAAATTTATGGATTGATTTTGTTCTGTTTCTATTGTAAATTCAATATGACTATGAAGTGAATTAATGTACGATAAAAATTGGTCGAGTTGCCTGTTAGTTCCTGTGAAACATACCAGTACGTCGTCTACGTATCTCCACCAATATAAAAACTGTTTGAATACGGGATGTTTTAAAATCTTTGTCTCTAGATGATCCATAAAAATATCTGATAGCAATGGGCTTAGAGGGTTACCCATTATAAGGGTTATAAGGGGTAATATATATTTGTATATATTTTATTATTAAATTCAAAGTATTCCCGATTTATGCAAACTTCAAGAAAATGTAAAATTTCAGATGTAATTATTGGATTTGTACTATTTTGGTCTAAAGTATCCCTCCCACAGAAACTTTTATTCTAGTAAAAAACCTTTTAGACCACAATAGTACAAATCCAATAATTACATCTGAAATTTTACATCTTCTTGAAGTTTGCATAAACCAGGACTACTTTGAATTTAATAATAAAATATATACAAATAACAGTGCAGGACTTATAATGGGTAATCCTCTAAGCCCATTGCTATCAGATATTTTTATGGATCATCTAGAGACAAAGATTTCAAAACATACCGTATTCAAACAGTTTTTATATTGGCGGAGATACGTAGACGACGTACTGGTATGTTTCACAGGAACTAACAGGCAACTCGACCAATTTTTATCGTACATTAATTCACCTCATAGTCATATTGAATTTACAATAGAAACAGAACAAAATCAATCCATAAATTTCTTAGATTTAAAAATTAGCAGACTTCAAAACAAACATGACTTCTCCGTATTTCATAAACCTACCCATACTGACACGACTTTACACAATTCGTCATCCCATCCAACACAACATAAACTGGCAGCTTATCATAGTATGTTACATAGATTAACAGAAATTCCAATGTCAAAATACAACTTTGAGACATAATTAAATATAATTAAGCAAATAGCAGTAAATAACGGATACAACGAACAAACAATTAATAAAATGTTAAATCAAAAACTACACAAGAAAGCACTGAAATTAGTATTTTCATCACCAGAAAAAAAACCCAGTACCTTCTGCTTGATTACATATACAGGCAAAATAACAACAAAAATTGCCAAACATATAAAAAAGAAAGGAATAACACCAGCTTTCCGAACAAATAACAACTTAGGCAGACATATTAAAAATAACAAGAGCCAAAATAAAAAAACACTTAAATAGTGGTGTGTACAAACTTCAATGTGGCGACTGCCCAAAAACTTACATCGGTCAAACTGGTAGAAACTTTGATAAACGAATAGCAGAACATAAAAGGGCTTTCAAGAATAGAAAAACAGATTCGACATACGCACTTCACCTTCTAGATTATAATCATTCTTTTAATGAAAAATTTAAAATTCTTCACATTCAAAATAAAGGTCTTAAGCTATCTTTGTTAGAATCTATAGAAATCAACAAATTAAAAAACACAGATATAATTCTGAATGACCAACTCGAGACAAACAGTTCTCCCCTCCTCAACCTATTTCATTAGAGACTATAAATTTGTAAACCCAAGCCAAAAATAGATCACTTGAGAAAGGCAATCAGCCGAAACAGCTGTGGTGATAAGATTTAAAATAAATTTTGTGGAAGTTTGAAAACAAAATTTTCAGTGTTTTATTGTTACGAAAAATATAGTGATTAAAAAGATGATCAAGAAGTTAATAGTTCTGATGGGAAGAGGAAAAGGAAAGTGATCCGTAAACAGAAAAATAAGAAACAAGAAACCAATAAGTTAAAGCGTGTTCAAGGTGAAGAATATGTATCTGTGTCAGGAAAAAAGATTAGTTCCAAGTCATTCAATTTGGTTACTGACTGCTGCCAGAACAAATGTCATGCAAATCTGCCTCTTGATGTTCAAGTATTGATTGCTTTTACAACTGCCAGAACAAAAGTCTCCAAGATAGCCAGTTGTCTAGCTGTATGGACTTGGCTAAAAATCCCAAAAGTAAAAGGAAATCTCTTAACCCAAAAAACCAAGAGATCACGCCTGGGCCTATCGTATGTCTGTAAGAGGAAACACTGTTTTAGGGTCTCGCAAATTTATTTTGGACTTATATATGGATATGGATAAACGCGATAAACGCATATGGATTATTCAAAAAAAGATCTTGTTGGGAGATTCATTTGAAGAAAAAAGAGGAAAACATTTGAATAGGCTCAGAAACATTTCAGATGACGCTGTTGTGTTAATGGGGGATCACTTGGCTGGTATACTCCATGATGAAAGTCATTAGAAGACTTCTTTATTAGTCTTTATTAGTCTTTATTAGTCTCTATTAGTCTTTAGAAACAAGAGTAATTTGCAATATTTTGACAACACTTTGTTAAATATAAAATCATTGTATGGGTTGTTCCAGGCCTTTTTCAAAGAAAGAAAAAAGGAAACTCTCAAGATGTCTTATAAAACATATTATCAGTACTTTAAAACTAAGTTTTCCTATTCTGTTCGCAAACCTAAGACAGATGTATGCGATTATAGCCAAGAATGTAAGATCAAGCTAAATATCAATAATAAAGACCTATTTATGCCTTTTTTTGAAATCCACAAAAGAAAGCAAATAAAAGAAAAGAACTGCGTGATATGTATATTGCTAAATCCATAAAAGAAAATTCCTGGCATCTGGTTTTGGATTTCGACTATTCTCAAAATTTCCCAAAAACAAAGCTAAATATCAATACCCAATTTTACAAAAGAATGTTTTAGTTGTACTGTTTTACCATTCATATTTTTAACGACAACTCTAGTTATTGCTATACATTTACTGAGTGTGATGGAAAGAAGAATCCTAATTCTGTGTGTAACATTTTTTTTATTATTAATATATCAAATTATTTTTAATTCCTTTTACCCCCGTGCGATACGCCGATGATTAGGAATCCCCGTGTTTACGATAGGAAAATATTATTGTAGATACCAAGCTAAAATGGAATTCCCTAATTAAGAAAGGTTTTTAATCCTTCCGTCTTAATACTCTGTATGAAAAGAACAAATGCTTTCCGGTATGCAGTTTCTTTTTCATAAATTGGTAATTTTCGTCGAAGGCCCATATCTTTTGACATGAACTTAATCCCAAGTATTGTCTGTTTTTTATGTCCAATTGTTAATACCGATTATTTTACCTCAAACTTTCCAATAGTCGTTAAGGCCTTACCTTCTGAGAAACACATACAACTGTCCTATCATTCTTGAGTGGGGGAATATTTTCTTCTTTCTTTTTCAGGGACAGTTGGTGAAATTTTTAGTGGAACCAACTTACTTGTTGGTGGGCAGTTGTTGAGTGAGGTAATATCTCGTGAGACTTCTCGGTGGGCTCTTGTTGAGTGAAGTGATATCTCGTGATGCGCTTTGCTCACGATATTTCTTATCTTATCGTCGCTGTGAATATTTTCTAAGTGTGTGTACACTTCATATTTGAATTTTCTTTCCTTAGACTATATTAATTATATATAGTTCTACACTACCTTTAATGGTTATTAAATTCAGTGTTTAGTACCAGAAAAGAATTAAATTCAGTGAATTAAGCTGCCTTCGTCAAGATCTACTGTAAGTAATCTTTATCTACAATTATCTGGGCGAGTAATATGGTATGGTATCATATCACCTGCCATTATCTGGACGTATCATCTATATCTTCACCTGTAGATTTCCGATTTTTGAATGTAATTGAACCATTCAAGAAATTTCTATAAATATTACCTATGAACATACAAGTCTCAGTTTTTTTATTAAATAATAGTGCGAGATAGTTAATTGAGTTAACCAAGTGCGGTTTGGTTTATGTTTTCATTCCTGTAACCTTTGTGTTTTTTTTTTGTAAATTTAGAGTTAAGTAATTTTTGCAATCTTTTGTATTTCCTATAATTTTTGTTCATTATCTTTCCTATGATATCTCGAGATACGCCAAACTATATTTGTATATGATTGCCTTATACATATATCTTGGTAAAGGTATTTTTTTATTACATTATAGCTTAATTTTATACATATATAACACCATTTCATAGTTGTGTATTTTTATTACCTGGGTTGCATTTAGCAGCATCATAATATTGTGTTTAATAAATTGTTATTGTTTTATGCATGTATTTTATTTGTCGGCTCCTAACAAGTTCCCTGATAAAATAATAGCTCTGAACAATTACTATCTTTAAGTATTACTATGCCTTTGAACTGTAGAAAGATCAGGCTGATTAAGTTTCGTAGGTAAGTAAGTGTAATACTTAATATATTTATTATTTGTTTATATATTGCGTTGACCAGATTTATTTGATAATTTACTGTTGGTATCTTTCCTTGGGTTTGATCTCTGAACCTAAATATCTTTTCTTATCTCTTTTCTTTTCTAAGGTTTTCTTAATTTTCTCCTTAACCCCAAAAAATTGAGTGGCGCCCTGTTTCTATCTTCTCTTATCTTCGGTAATTTTACCCATCTATCTTTTTGTTTATTTCTGTATGTTTTCTAATATCTCTTATCCTATCTTTACCTATTTCTTCCGTTGGATCCATTCCCGGTTCCAAAAGCTAGTTTCGAACCCACGACTCGCTCTCCACCAACCATCTGGCTGCCGTCCGCAGTGTCTCCATTGGTTATCTTTCTAGCACCACCCAAAAAAGATTTCCGAGGTTACATGTGGTATCTTTTTTATTTGATTGTATTAAAATACAGATAAGTAAATTTTCCTTTTTCAGTGTGGCAATTCGGGAAATGGAAATGCAGGAAAAATCCTGTGCCATTTGGAGTAAAAATGAACAGTGACCTTCTTCAAGATTGGGACTCTTTCATTAAACCTTTTTTCTTGCCTAAACCTGTGTCTAGAAACAAAGTTTCCTTCAAAATTATGCAGTATGTTATTATAAAATATGATCGTAGCGGTGGCATTTCATGCAAATTAATTTCAATCAAAAATCCCCTGTTCTATCTAAAAAGGGCACATAAGGGCTTTTTGTGTTTCATTATTTTAAACATAAGCTTTATTTTTATCGATGTCATACTTAAGAAATGACTTTCTAGATAAATAGTTTTAATGTGTAGTAAACTTTTCAATTTTTAAACAACAAATTAGTATCTATAGCAACAAGTTAAAATTTCAACGTGGTTTTTCTCAAAACTCACTTTTGTCCTATGTGCCCTTCTCACGTAGACTGCCTCAATAATTAACAGTTAAAAGTGGTTAATAATAAGTAGACCAACCTTCATTTGAACAGGCAATTTCAAATTATCTCTTTCTGGCCATATCTGGTATTCTTTATTATTTACTGTTGGAGGAGCGTAATTGTATAGTAGCTTTCCGTTTACGTAATCCTTAAGGATATATCTTGCAGCTCTAGAATTATCGGGCTGTCCATTAGCTGTCATAAATCCTCGGTTATCTAAAAAATATTACATTATCGAAAAAAAAAAAATACAAATAATAAACTCCTGGACAAAATTAACACACCACTCATATTTTTCTCAATAATCTTTATTTATTAATAATTTACTGTACGACAAGTTGTCTATGGACCTTTGCTTGTGTGTCATAAACTTGTGTCATAAAAAGTGCCGATTAAAGCAAAGTGTTTGTGAGAAACAAGCTTTTTATTGTGATATTTTTCATCACATGCATGTGTGGAAGTTCATTTGCATAAAAATCAAATAAAAAAATGAGCCGCCAAAGAAATTTATCAATGGAGGAGGCAGTGCGACCGACTCCCCTAGATGAAGGATATTCAATGCGATACGTTGCAGCTTTGTTAGGAAGACATCATTCCAGCATCAGTTGCGAAGACCAGGGCAAGGAAGAAAACATTGTACTGATCAAATTGATGATCATTTTTTGAGACAAAGTGCTCTCAGATATAGGAGAGTCACCAGCAATTTTCTAATAAATAAACTAAAAAAAAAAGTCGGACAATTTTCAATTAAAGGTGACTAATCTACAAATTGAACTAAACGGTAGCGGCAACCATGAAAAATTTCATTAGTAAATTCTTACCGGGGTCATTTTTATTGTGTATGCTTCGCCCATGTAAATATGTAAATTTGTAACCCATCTAAGATAAATTTGCCCCCGTAACAGTATAAATTGGTGCAATTCACGAGTGTATAGTGAGACAAGTTCATAGAATAGTTTGGAACATCGGTAAAATTATCAATATTTTGCTGGTCTATATATATTTACGTTTTTAGAAAGAATGTTAATTAGAGAAATATGATATCTTAGTTTATTGAAGTTTATGAAATATGATATCTTCCAGATTTTATACAATGTACATAGGCGTAGTGTATTATTGGAATATATTTATTAAATATACTTTATTATTAACTTTAAAATAGTTTTGAGGCAAGTAAAGTAAATTTGAGGCCAGTTTATTCGTTATATAGTATTAAACCCTTAACGGCCGCTCAATATACAAAGAGAAATTTGACAATTAATTTATTAGATTGGATTAAAAACAAATTAGGAATAAATTACAACCAAAAAGATTTTCTTTCTCATTTTTAAGGAAAACAGTACAATTTTTAATAAAGGAACATATTGTATCTTAAACGTAAATTAAATTTTAAGGTAAAAATTTTCGAAATATTCGGGGTGTAGATGCATTCTACACTTTTTACATAAATAAATAGTATTACTTTTGTACATCCTACATTTTTGCACTATCGTCTCTTTTTATAATGTGGCCAATATTGACGAATCTGGTTTCTTCTGGTAAAGCAAATTTAGATTGACGCCCATGTACTGACACTGATGTAGCGGTTTCTTCACTATAATAAATCTATGTCGGCTCATGCTTTCTCTTATAATATGCACTTCTTTATCCTCATCCTTTGACCAATGCATATCTACTTGAAGCAGAGTGTAAACCAGATAATATACATATGTTAATAATTTTTTTAAATCTATGTTATTCATTTTAAGATTGTGACGGTTATTCTCAATTACTTTTTTATCAAAAAGAGTGAAAAAACTTCAATATATGACTTGCCTACATGGTTGGCTTTTATCTTGTCTAAATATCAACAAGACTGATGTTGAATTACTACTGAGCACGAAAGAATATCCGTTATTATAACTTGAGATAAGTTTGGATTTACTATTTTTGCCTTATTTTTACTTATTGGTTTTTTCTTTGGACGTTTTATCTGTGGTTCAAAGGAATATCATAATCAGAATCGTTAGAATTCCCAATCACTTGTATTTCATATGTACCTGCAATATCCGATTTTATTGATTTTTCACAAATAATATTATCATCAATCTCTTCAAGGAATACAATAATATACCAGCAAACGAATGGGAAAGATACCTGACGGAACTGTTTAAAGCAAAGGAAAATAATAATCAACACAATACTGTACCTGAACTAAGAGACGAAATAGAAATCAGTTTTCACGAAGTAGAAATAGTCATAAATTCACTCAAAAATAGAAAGTCACCAGGACCAGACGGAATAACCAACGAGCTTCTAAAATACGGATGAGAAAGTTTAAGCCTAGAGATGACAAAACTTATACAAAAACTAATATTGCCCTGCAAGATACCAGATGCATGGAGAAACAGCATAATGATACCAATGGTCAAGAAAGGAGATAAAGAAGACCCCAACAATTATACAGGTATAAATCTACTGAACACCGCACTTAAGCTTACCATAAAAGTCCTAACTAACAAAATCAATAAACTAACAACTTTATCAGATGAACAACAAGGATTCAGATTCGGATGATCCTGCGTAGACGCCGTATTTGTACTAAGACAAATCACAGAAAAGGCCATCATATCTATGTTTTATAGACCTGACAAAGGCGTTCGATCGCATCCAAGTCGAAGACGTCTTAAACCTACTGTATAAAAGGAACATACCAATCAATATTATACAAACCATCGAAAGCATCTACCTCCATAATCGAATACAAGCAAAGATAAATGGAAAACTAACACAGTGTATACCAGTACAAAGCGGAGTCAGACAGGGTGACTCGTTAAGCCCACTTCCCTTTAATATATTAATGGACGAAATAATACAAGCAGTACGTAAAAGTCATGGCTACAGAATTGGGAACAAAGAAATCCAAATATTATGTTATGCAGACGACGCCGCATTAATCGCCGAGACAGAAGACGAGCTCTAAAGATTAACACATATCTTCAATACAACAGCTAAGAAATACAATATGATAATATCAGCGGAAAAATACAAATGTATGACATTTAAATACCCAGTACGGTGTAAAATCGAAATTGATGGGAAAATAATAAAACCGGAAGCAAGGGTTAGATATCTGGGAATAGATATAACTAGTTACGGAGATGTTGAAGAAGAAGTACGACAGCAAAGCTTAAAAGCAAGTAAAGCGGCGGGTTCTCTTAATGACACAATCTGGAAGAACAAACACCTAAGACAAGACACAAAAACAAGAGTCTATAAAGCAGGAATTATTAATTAATAAGTAAGTATAATAAGTATTAATTAATTAATAAGGAATTAAGGAAACTGCGAAATAATTCATCACCTGGATTAGACGGACTCACCTCTTTTTTCCTCAAACAATGTGCAGAATCTGTAGCCATCCCTATATCTCTCATAATGAATGCTTCTTTTAATCAAGGTTCTCTAGCCTCGTCCTGGAAATTGACTTCGGTTACTCCTATATTCAAGAAAGGAAATAAACTTGATTGCAATAATTATCGTCCAATGAGCCTGGTTCCTATTGTTGGCAAGGTCACGGAATCGATTATTTCGGAAGCTATGTCCGAGTTCCTTCTTCAAGAAAATGTCATCCCTCACCAACAGCATGGATTTATCAAAGGTCGCTCAACGATCAGAAACTAACTTTATTGTGTAAATGATTGGTCATTATCTTTAAACAATAGGAATCCTGTCGATCTAGTTTACTGAGACTTTTGCAAAGCTTTCGACCGTATTCCAAAACGTCGATTACTAGCTAAATTGGATCACTATGGTATCCGCGGAAAGTTAAACATTTGGATACAAGATTTTCTATCCGACAGATACTTCAGTGTTCGTGTTGGGGAAGACCACTCACTAGATAAGCCAGTCAAGAGTGGAGTCCCACAAGGATCAGTACTTGGACCGCTACTTTTTTGTGTCTACTTTAGTGATCTTCCGCTCATTGTATCCAGTAAGGTTTCCTTTTACGCTGATGACACGAAGTTATATGTGAATCCAACTATTACCCAAATTTTTCTTCAACAAGATCTTGACGCAATATTCAAATGGTCCTCAGAATGGTTACTTCCGCTTAACATTGAAAAATGCGTTGTTTTACATATCGTCAAAATAACCCATCACTACCGTACTTTATTAATGGACATCCTTTAAACTCGGTAACCTCCCACAACGATCTCGGAGTGATAATTAATAATGTCTTAAATTGGTCTGATTACATAGTGTCGGTGTGTAAACGTGCAAACTCGAAACTGTTATTGATACGTAAATGTTTTTCACGTATATCTAACCTCTGTTAGTAAACTTTACTCAATATACGTTAGACCTATTCTTGAGTTTACCGGACCAGTGTGGAATCCAGATCTCAGTCGCGATAAAATCCTACTTGAAAACGTTCAGCATAAAGCCACAAGACTGGCATACGGCCGTGTAGGACCTAACTACGAAGATAGACTATTCCTGGCTCATCTTACGACATTCGAACAGCGACGTCTTCGAGGTGACCTAATTATGTCCTTCCGTATTTTAAAACATAATTTTGGGAACCTAAACACCATATTCACTTTAAATCAAGACGAAAGATTAAGAGGCCATCGATACAAATTAAAGAGGGAACAAACTACTGCAAGGTCCAGGTGAACTTCTTGCCAAACAGAATCTTTAATATCTGGAACAATTTGGATCAAGACACCATATCGGCAACTAGTGTTAACATCTTTAAAAATAAACTTGATAGCGCTTTATTTTATTTATAGGTTATATTTATAGTTATATTGTTTAACTTTACTTAACTTTATAATTGGTATTAGTTTTCTAAGGATATTTTTTATTTTTGCTTTTTGGAAATAATAGGAACTAGCTCCTCTGCCCTTATTTGTTATATAATAATAATAATATATAACTAACTATAATAATAAAAAACTGAAAAAAAGGCGGGGGAAAAACTATAAAGTTTTATTCATAAAAAAATCTAAGTTGTGAAATAATGATTGTACTTACATGCATATGAATTCAATAATTCTTCGGCAGTAGGATCTCTATCAGGATCCTCTCCTTCCATGGGCTTGGGAATCATAATTTTATATTTATCTTCTATGACATGCCTTGGTATAAGACTGCTAAGTAAATTGATAGGAGGTACATGATCTCTCATTTGGTCTATAGGTAAAATTCCATTTAAAATCATTTCTGCTTTTGAAAAGACAAAACTAGGCATCACTAAACCTGGACAATCACACAGCAATAGGTCTTTATCTGAAATAAAAATTTTACTAGTTTTCATATAAATATAAAGTAATGCATTATAATTTACTATACAACGTGCGCCTAAGCTATTTATAGATAATTTTTTCATGTCTTTATTATTGTAGGATATAACATGTATCTGGTGATTAGGGGCTGGTAAGTGGTCTTGGAGGCGACATGAAGCTGCCGATGTTTTTGTCGTAACAAAACTCTAAAAAATGCCCACTGTTTTCTAACCAATGAGTTGGAGATTTAAGGAATAAAACTCAGCTCTACCAGCAAATCCTACTCTCATGTCCAAGAAGACATACCATGTCGCATAACCACTGGGTGCATGGCGTACAATGGGAGTGCGTTATGTAACAGACAAAAGAGGGTAAAATGCGAGTCTCTGGTGCCTAAAAACTGGAACATATCGGCTAGGGAATGAAACCAAACAGAAAATTCGGTCCTCCAAGGATGGGGGTTAAGTCGTAAGGCCAGCGACCTTACACTTGTGAAAATTCTACAGTGCTAAAAAAACCCAATGAGCCTCGGTTACCGGACGGAAAATACAGTAGACGAAAACAGCAACGAAAATGGACCATGAATTACGGAATCTGGAATATACAGGGAATCCGGAACAAGCAACAAGAAATTATGCAGGAATTCGTAAATCGAAAATTAGGTATAGCCATTCTCTCTGAGACTAAGAAAAAAGGAAATGGAAGCGAAAAATTAAAAGACTATGTACATTTCTTCTCACGAGTGGGAAAGAATCAAAGAGCAGGAGCAGGGATATCAATATTTGTACACAAGAAATTCGCAAAATATATTAAATCTTGGGAAGCATACAACGAAAGTTTTATTAAAGTGACGATTCTCCTAAGGGGAACACAAATAACAATTCTGGGGATATATGCCGTAAATGATGACTACTCAGTACAAGAAAAGGAAGTTTTTAGAAGAAGACTAGAAAAATCTTGAACAAAATTTCTAACAGCCATGAGATTATATGCGGAGGAGACCTTAATGCCAGAGTAGGAGAACAAGTACAAAGTAAAGTGGTAGGCATGCATGGAGAAGAAACTGTTAACAACAACGGAGAAAGACTCATAAATATATGCCAACAATATAAGTTAAAGATTTTGAATGGTTTTTTTCGCCCACAAGAACATACATAAATACACCTGGTATCAGCACACAAGAGGTCTAAAATCGATAATAGATTACTTCATAACAAGACAACAAACTAAGTTAAGAATACAGGACGTAAAGGTGAATAGAGGAGCAGAGTGTGGCTCGGACCACTGCCTAATAATAGGAAAAATATATACACAATTCGTAGACAGGAACCACACAGACATCAACAAAGAACACAGAGAAAAAATAGAAAGAACTACGTACACCTTAGACCAGTGATTCTCAACTTGTGGTCCGCGAACGGTTTTCATGTGGTCCGCGAAGTGAACAGTCATAAAATAATCAATTTAAATCTTGGTTCTTGAGACGTAAATTGATGCGCCGGCCTATCTTTTTAACTCAAAACGTTTCCAGACGACCAAGCGCGCCTGAACACAAGTTCATTCACCTCAATCTTCCGCGTATTTTCCCTCACGCGCCAAATAGTTAGTTGCATTATCTTCGTTTAGTTTCGGCCGCTGTCGTATACGTACAGGACACTGCGACCACTGCGTTTTTGATCGCGCCACTACTCAGTGACTCAGTGCTGACTCAACTGTCAAGTGACGAGCGTGCGTCTTTTTTGGCTTGGTGATTGTAGTTTACTAAAATGAGCACACAGATAACACTTTCGGGTTTTTTTAAGAAGACGGACAGTGAGAACGTTAAAGCAGGATGTTCTACTAGTAATATTGCCAGTGATAGCACAATATTAACTCAAACTGGTCCGAAAAGAAAGGCTGCTAACCGTAAGTACAATCCTGACTACATAGCATGTGGATTTACATTCATTGAAGAATTTGGTGTCCAGTTACCTCAATGTGTAATTTGTGCGGAGGTATTAAGTAATGAGGCAATGAAGCCGGCAAAATTAACTAGATACTTTGAAACAAAGCATAAACATTTTACCGGAAAACATGTAGATTTTTTTAAGAGGAAGGAGACGGAACTAAAATCGTCAAAAAATATCCTTAAGTCATACTCAACTTATGATAAAGCTACTTCGAAGGCGTCATATCAACTTTCACTTAGAATCGCAAAAACCAAAAAACCCTTTACTGTTGGCGAGGAATTAGTTTTACCATGTATCGTAGATGCAACTAAAGCAATTTTATGTGATAAATATGCTAAACAAATGCAAAATATTCCTCGTTCCAATGACACCAAAGACTGTGTAGGACTTTGCTCTGATGGTGCCGCGGCAATGACAGGTCACAAAACAGGCTTGCCAAGTTTTGTAAGGAAAGAAGGAAACCGTGATATTGTTTTAACACACTGTACTATTCATCGCGAAATGCTTGCTGCCAAAAGATTAAGTCCCGACCTAAACAAGGTTTTGACTACTGTGGTAAAGGCGGTGAACTTTATAAAAAGTAATGCTCTTAGTTCGAGATTGTTTGCTTTGTTATGCGAGGACATGGGATCCATCCATTCCAATCTCCTTCTACATACCGAAGTTAGGTGGCTGTCCAGGTGCCGGGTTTTAGCCAGATTTTATGGACTTCGAGAAGAAGTATGTATGTATCTTGATGAAAACAAACCTGATTTAGCGAAAACACTGCGTGACGGAGAATTTATGGCCCAGTTAGCTTTTTTAGCAGATATTTTTGAACAGCTCAACATATTGAATCTAGGCCTGCAGGGACCATCTAAAACCGCATTTGACCTTTGGAAAAAAATTGATTCATTTAAGAAAAAATTCTTTCTATGGGAGTCCGAAGCTGGAAAAGGATCGTTTGAAATGTTCAACTTGTTTTCAGATTTTATCTCTGAAAATAAAGGCTTAAATGAGGATGTTTTACATTCACTGGTTAAGTCCTACATTAAGTCGCTTCAAGATTACTTTGAAAAGTACTTCCCTGGTGATACATATGTGAGGAAAAATAATCCGTGGGTGATTGATCCCTTTTTAGCTACCCACAATAATAATCTGTATATTCAGGAAAATGAACAGCTTATTGAAATTTCATCCGATGATCATTTAAAAGTGATAAAATCTCACTGCGAAAATGTTGCAGATTTTTGGATAGGATTACTTGATGAAAGTCCACTGCTAAGTAAAAAAGCTTTGGAACTTCTTCTTCCTTTTCATTCCACTTATCTCTGTGAGGCATCATTCTCAACATTATATGTCATTAAGAATAAACACAGAAATAGGTTGCTAAATTTAAATGCTCCTATGAGACTGGCGTTAACTTCTTTCGATCCAAATATTGAGAAACTTTCAAGTGAGAAGCAAGACCAAGGGAGTCATTAACGTCTTAATTTGGCGCTATCTATGACTTTTTATTTTGTTTTTTATATACCTTTTGTCTTTCACTATGTATTTTCTTTTTTATTTTGTAAATAATAAATTCATTAGTAAAATTTCAGTATTCATCTCATTTTACCTATTATTAGGAAATATTAATAATAATATCTAAGTGGTCCGCCAAGAGTTCTGAAAGGTACAAGTGGTCCTCAGTGATGAAAAGGTTGAGAACCACTGCCTTAGACAATCTAGATAACGAGAGCACACAGTTACTTTACTCCTGGAGACTAACACAAAAACTACAGGAATCACACAGATCAACGACGGATGAATACGAACATATAAAAAACTGCATAAAAGACGCAGCGCTAGAAGCCTTAGGACCACAGGTACGGAGAGTAGATAAACCATATTGGTGGGATAAAGAAGTGGAAGAAAAGATAAAAACAAAGAAGGAAGTATATCAAAAGTTATTACAACAGGGAGGCGAACAAACAAAACAACAATATAAAAACTTGAATAAAGAAGTCAAACGAGAAGTGGTTAAAAAGAAAAATAGTGCATGGACAACTATAAAAACGATGAGAACAACGACAAAAAAACCAGGTCATAATAAATAGAATACTAGAGAACATAGGGCTAGAGCATTTTGAGAACTTATTAACAGAGAAAAGAGAAAGGTTTGAACAGACAAATGAACAAGTGGAAGTAGAAGGAAGAATAGAAATATCAATAGAAAGTAAAAGAAGCAGTTAAGGGAATGAAATTAAGAAAATCTCCAGGCCCATGCGGAATACATCCAGAGTTGATTAGGTATGGATGATCAAAACTGTTTGAAATGACCCGAAAATTATTTGAAAGATGCTTACACGAAGAAAAAGTTCCACAAGAATGGAGACAATCGTATATCTCTCCAATATGCAAGAAAGGCACAAAGACGGACCCCAAAAACTATAGAGGGATCGCAGTGTTTGCTACTATAGGCCGACTATACTCAAAAGTACTACGAAACCTGATAGAAAATCATATTAAAGACAAACAACCCGAAGAACAAGCGGGATCTAGGGCTCTACTATGTATAATATTTTCATATTAAAAATTGCAATGGAAAAATGAGTGTAGAGAAATAGAGAAACCCATATAGCTTTAATAGATTTGGAAAAAGCATATGACAGTGCACAGATCTCCCAACTATGGATAGAAATGGGTATCTTGAATTCTTATTATTCCCAATTCTTATTAACGCCATTCAAAAATACTACGAACAAAACTTTGCAAGAATTAAAATGGGACAAGAAATCACCTCGCCTTTTCAAACAACAAAGGGACTAAGACAAGGTTGCTGTCTGTCACCCACCTTATTTAAAATCTATTTGGACAGATCCTTCGTAAAATGGGTAAAAAAATGTAGAAACCTGGGTATAACGGTGGAAGAAAACACGCTATATACACTTTTCTTTGCGGATGACCAGGTAGTAATTGCCGAAGACAGCTACGATCTTAGCTATATGGTAATAAAACTGCAAGAAGAATATGAGGTGTCAGGTCTAAACATGAATATGACAAAATGTGAATATCTCTCAGTAGGAACAGATGA